ATCTCGAATAATATTGGAATTAAATGTATCATGTTTGGACTCATTTTAAAGGATTTTTAATGAAGATTACAAATATGTCAAAATTGAGGTTGACATTTTAAACCTGAAGTTAGTTATCATATAATAGACGTTTTATAACTGAAGTTAATCTAGTGTTAGTCACTTTTCCGCACTTTCTTTTTATTTTTAAAGTGTTTTTTTGGGTCATTTCACATTGATTAAAAAAAATCCTGTAAACTTGTAACATTTCGTCCTTAATTTACAACTTTTTAAACTTTAATTTTGTAAATTAATAACTAATAATCTGATTTCGGCTTTGATATGTGATCTTTTTTAACAAAACAAAAAGAAATATTAAGAAACTTGTTTGGACAATGGATAAGATGAGATATGTTAATCTATTTGTAGAGTCTCTGAAAATGATCAAGGGCCGAATCTGGTTAGACTTAAATTCTAGATAAAATAAAAACCAGTTTAAAAGTATAAAATCAAACTCTAGATTATTTTCTTCAAAAATTTTTACACGAATCGTCATCATTTTGCCAAGTAATGCATAACGCGGTCCAATTATTAGTCGAAAGTGAATTCTGCATTATTTTTACTCTAGTATTTATCAATAAAATTATGTCATTTAATTTGGAGTTCTGTTTGGTGAGAAGGGGCTTAGGTTTTAATCTGGTCAGAAGTATCTAGTCTGCTATTACCAGTATCTAGTCTCTTGTAAGCAACAAATAATCTTTTGACACCAGTATTTAGCCTTTTATCAGCAGTATCTAGACTTATTTCAGCGGTATCTAGTCTTTTGCAAGCAATAAGTAATCTTTTGACACTAATATTTAGCATTCTACCAGCAATATCAAGACTTATACTAACAGTATTTAGTATCTAGATTTTTGGAAGCAATAAGTAACATTTTGACACCAGTATTTAGCCTTCTGCCAGCAAAATCCAAACTTATGCCACTACTATCTGATCCAAACTATTAAAGTTTTCTTTCAACTCATAACCTTCTAAATGTATTTTCATAATGAAGCAAATTGCATGTTACAAACTCCATAAAAAAAATTATAGTATCACAACGAAATTGGAATTAAATTCAACATGAATACATATTGTGAATCGTTAATATAAACTTAATAAAACAAAATTGAACTAAATTACTTCAACTATTCAATTGAATGAATAGGATCGTTTTGAAATCCTGTTATTACGTGTTTTCGACAAACAACTCACTTTACTTGAACGTCAATCGACAGCTTTTGTAGTTGCAGCACAAAAGAGGGTTAAATTACACACAAGTAATGGATAATTGCGCACATATTTGCCGGTATTTGTGTGGCCCATCGCAATCGGATAGCCATCTTGTCATTATACATTGTATGGGGTGAATTGAAATACCGCAATCAGTTCTCTTGTCGAAGACCGCTGTTTGTCGCCCATGTTGATTGTGAGTCTCCCGTTAACATCACCAACTCAAAAACTCAACTGGTCGAGTAAGGGGGGTGCCGGAGGCCTCACGGGGGTCGCAACAATTACGTGTGCGTCGTTAGATACGTAGAATCCGGAGCTAAACCGGCTTCTTCGCTCTGCTTCGACCGATAATACGGGGGTGGGATGACATCTTTTATGCCTCCGGATGTTCTTGGGGTAGTACAAAGGGAATATATGACCGAGAAGGGTGGTCAGAGGACCAATTTGAGATGTACTTAGAAATTTATGGGTTATTTTGATTATATGGTGTGAAAATTAAAGAAAAAGAAAGGTTGTAATTAAATTTATGCGGAAAAGAGGAAACGTGGAGGTAACCAATTAACTAAAAGGTGGACAGGATGAGTTATCGCTCGAGTATTTTAAACAGTTTTTAAAAGCCCATTCATATTAAGTAATAAATTTCGAAGTTTCGCTGCTTGATTTACGGCCGCGCATAATTTAGTAGCGGTCAGAAACGATACGCGATAATTAGGTAAGTGTACGAAAAAGGATTCGCGAAGAAGAAACGATTCCGACTTCTCCCGCAACGAACGTTTTTGAGAGTTTTTGAGATTTTACGACGCGCTCGTGCCGCGCCGTTAAGTAACCCGGCGAGTAAAATATGGCGATCCCCGACCGGGAACTTTGAGATATGGCAGAGCCGTATCTGCGAACTTCTTGAAACTCAAATAATCCCGCAATTACTAGTTTGATCGCGGAGATTAATACGTTTCCTTGGACGCGATAGTATTTCATGCGTCTGCTAACTTCGCGATTTATACCCAACGCTCCTCAGGAGTGAGCTACGGGACTTGCATAAGACGTAATTGCGGCTTGCGTACAAATAATTAAAGCGGTGCCGTAACTTCTTACCTCAAGAAACGAGACCTCTCGTCAAGTCTTGTAAACCAAACTCGAGAATTAACTTTAAATTTCAAACCTTTCAAATGGGATTTATAATTAAACGGCAAACTCAATTTAATACTCCAAACAAATGTTTATCCTATATAACCACCCGTAATGAAAGTAATCCTAATTTTACTTTAAAGCGGGTGCGCCCGATTTTATATCACGAGCGGGCGCGTGTCGTAAATTTTATCACATCAGGTCCTAATCTCCTGCAAGTACAGTGTGTTAATTAATTATCGTACCCGACGTCATCATTGCAAGTATGCAACCAATATCACAATATTGGTATGGAAATACGCGATTTGCGTATGATGTGTATTGCACTGTAATATTGGTTGCATACTTGCAATGATGACGTCGGGTACGATAATTAATTAACACACTGTAGATATGGCACACAATAAACCATGCAAATAAATAAAAACATTATATTTTACAAAAATAGGTTGATAGATTCGATAGGATTGATTTTAAAGCTATCTAAAAAACGAAGTATTTATAGACATGTAAATACAGTGACTCCAAAGTCTTTTGATAGTACTTTTCGACCTCAAGTTAACAAAAAAAATCCTCCAGATTATCTTCTTTTCAAATAGTCTTAAAAGTGTTATCGTATTACTATTTTTAAGAGCAGATGCATCCATTGAAGATTAAAATCTCCGCATCAGGTTTTATGTTTTTTTTTCGTTTTGGCTTGAAGAGGCCTCTACGGCTTTGTCACGGTATTTGCCATCGATCTCAACAAAGGTAGTTAGCAGCCAGTAGAGGTCGAGTAGCGCTACTATTGTGTGGAGGCTTAAGTCGTCGTAAAGCACTACTTAAAAGCTCCTACGTGAAAGGCGGCCCATTCATACCAAGGGGCCCCGTAAACGGCCGGTCGTTGGTCCACAAACGGTTCAATCTGGGCGAATAACTAGCCGGGGAGAAGAAGAAGAAGTAGGTTTACGATTCGGAATCTCTTCGACAGGAAGGATTCAATACGCGGAAGTCTGCCATCTTAGGGGAACATTATTTATATCATCTTTTCCGGGTATAAAATACGTCCACGAAGTAACTTCAAGGATATATTATTATGATATACTTCCTATAAGAATTGATTGCTGGCGGAAATAGTGGACGTACTATACGCACGTCGCTTCGTTTATTTATAACGCCCGAAAACGCAAACTCGGCAAAGTCGTGACGTTATCTGTGGTAAACACAACCTTCGGTGGCTTGTTTACAACCCACAAACAATCTCGCATATGATAAACTGGAATGTGAAAATATTCCCGGAGATATTTCTTGGTAAAAGATGTAAAATCAAAACTAAATTTCAATTATAAACGAAAACGAGAGGATGGTTTGAAGCGATAGAATCGCAAGATATGCAAGATAACTTCGGCCGGCTATTGTTTTGTTCTTTGTTTTTCGTTCTCGTTCGTTGAAGGAGTTCGTGCCGCGTGGAGCGGAGGAGACGTTATCTCGAATCGGACAATTGAGTTTTCTCGTAATAAGGAAACTTTGTTAATTAATTTAGCGCTAATTGAATTTGACGAAAATTTCATATTCATGGGTTTGATGGTCGCTTGCTGTTTCCGTTTGCGATTTAATCGCGTTTTCGACAGCGAGATGATTTTAATTTAACGCATGGATCAACCGTTTAATGACGGACGACGTTTCACAATTCAACAATCATAATTTCATTTCAACATTATTAAGCGAATCACATAAATCAAAGATTTTCGTGGTAACATAATCGAGCGAAATTTAAGACAATTTTCGAACATTAGATATTGTATGGAGAAGGCTAGATACAACTGGTTGAAAAGTAGTACTGCTGATATAATGCTAAATAGTGCTAATGGACGGCTACACACAGCTAATAGAAGGCTGGATGCTGCATGCAGAAGATTATTTAATGCTTGTAGAAGACTAGATACTGCTTGAGAAGTGTAGATGCTACTGACAGAAGAGTTGTACTGTTGATTAATACTAAATACTGCTAATGGAAGCCTATACACAATTAATAGAAGACTAGAAGCTGCATGCAGAAGACTATCTAATAGTTGTTGAAGACTAGATACTGTTAACAGAACATTAGATATTGTGTGGAAAAGGCTAGATGCAACTGGCAGAAGAGTAGTATTGTTGATGGTAAAGCTACCACAAGTGGTGTAAAGCCAGCAATTTTGAAGCTAGATATCGATAACAATGTTGGTCACCACCTAAATATTCACTATCAACCGTCAGTGGGCCTACATTACATCATTCAATCCTTTTGACCAAGTTGAAGAGACTTGGCTTTAGAGGTGTTAGATTGTCATGGATGAAATCCTATCTATCAGGGAGGTTACAATGTGTAGTTGCCCACAGTGAACAGGGAACAGAAATAAGATCAGCTTGGAGAGAAGTCAAGCTGAGAGTACCTCAGGGTTCCATATTGTTCCTGCTGTATGTGAATGACTTACCACGTGTAACGAACAACATTACGATAATGTTTGCGGATGATACAACGACGAGGTGTAGCACTGATTATGAAATCCAGAAATCACTTACTATGGATCTGAATAAACTTGCGGATTGGTTTGAAGCGCACAGCATAAAATTAAATACAAAAAAAAACGAAAATTGTTAATTACCACTTATATTGTTGCCAGCGTTGAAGAGATTTCGTTTCTGGGTTGGAAAATGGATCCTGGACTGTCTTGGACCAATCATATTGAATCCAACCCAATCCTTGGTGGCAAGATCAGTCATTTCTTATATGCCATTCGGATTATTTCCAAATCAGCTGGCATTGAAGCAGCATTAAATGCCTATATCATTCCTTGCTAAGATATGGAGTTATCTTTTGGGGCCGTGGTGTTGGTATAGATAGAATCTTCATGCTACAGAAGAAGGGTCTAAAAAATACTGATAGCTGTAGAAGTTACTTTAAAGATTATAAAATACCTACCTTGTATGGAATTTATATTCTGGAATGTGCCGTATTGGTTAGGAAGAATTACTTTGAATTTTTCAAAAACATATGAAATATCAAATCCTCGAGACACACGGAAAGGTGAATTGCTATCTGGTGCCACCAAAAACGCATCTTACTAAGATTCAGAAGACGGCTCTGTATCAGAGTATCAACATCTACAATCACATTTCGGATGGTCCTGCCAGTTCCAAGATTCCGGAGAAGACTGAGAGCTATTGTCACGGAAAATCTGATGTATAATATTGGCATGTTTTTCCAATTTAATGTTTGAATTCAATTTGTATTATATTGCAATGTAATTATTATTAAATTGACGCACTCTACGCTTTTTTTGGTAAAATGGAGTAATAAAGTATTATTAATGTTAATGATGTAATGCTAAATACTGCTAATTTAAGACAAACACAACTAATAAAATACTGGATGCTCCATGCAGAAGATTATTTAATGCTTGTAGAAGACTAGATACTATTGCCAAAAAACTAATACAATAGAGTAAAGTCTAGATACTACTAATAAAGCACTTAAAGAAGTTTGCAGAAATATATATACTAGTGATAGACTACTGTAGTACTGTTGACAGAGACTAGATAATGTTTAATAGAAGACTGAGGTGTTTTTAATACAATTTTTTCTCAACTTTGTAAAAAATAAAAATTATCTCCCAGACGGGGAATCGAACCCCGGTCTCCCGCGTGACAGGCGGGGATACTCACCACTATACTATCTGGGACTTACATTTCAACGACATAATCTCTATTCCAGATTATTATCATAACACTTATTTATCAGCACTTATTTGATTGTTTGAAAATGTACTTGACGCTATAAATACTACTTAAATATATATAAATTGATAAGATATTTAAGTTATAGTTCAAGTATTTATATTGGATATCTAGAAAAAATTAAAAAATATCAGGAACTGGTTCTTACGCTTAAATTAAATTTAATTATATTGGTAATCAACGATAATGATGCTACATTAAAGCAGTAGATTCTTCCAATTATTAATCAATTCAACTCCATATGGTGAAGTATTGTACCAATTAATTTCGATCAATTGATTTTTAATCGTCCCAATAAATATAGTTGGGCACGCGTCCAATCAACAAAAATTTTCATTGTGCGTTGGTGAAATCAATTTAATTTTTGATCGAGTTTATACGCGCCCTGTCATCCGGATTAAAAGAGGGCCAGTTGGCACGTAGATCCTGAAATCGATTAAAAAAAATTCGAACGGTTAACGTACCTGAAACAGGTAAATAAATAACGACAATTTGTCGGGAAGAATGACTGTATTAAATGCGGCGAACGTGCCGCCCATTTAATGCCATAGTGTAACTCGGCCGTGTAAACAAATTTCAATTAATTTTTAAATTAATTAAATCCCCGCCGAAAACACTCATTTAAATTTCAAGTGCTCCTCCCGGACGGGAAATGCAAAACAATAGCAAAATGCTCATAAAATAACCGTTCGATTTGCGAGACCGGATAATATCGCAATTTAACTTCATTGTTTAAAACCCATTCGCAATTTTGCGCTAATTTATGGCCTTCTATGCCGCAACATGTAACGCACGATCGTGACAAAATCGCGGTGAAATTAAAACGAGTGCGCATGCAAATTAAATATGTTAATTCACTTTTGGTTGTGGCCGCCTCTCTGATTTCCGTTTTAACCCGGAATTACGCAATGGTTCAATAGGGAAAAGGTCGTTACCATTTCCATACGACAAAAGTTTAATTGACCGGTGATAGTTTATTTTAGACCCAACAATTACTAATAAAATTTATTTATATAAAGATATATAGACCAAAAAAAGATATATATAAATAAAGTTGTCACATAAGAAGATTGAAATCTTTTAAAACCACCATGTGTTTTATATTAATTAAACCGACGTTAAACCATTCCGTCCCCGTTAATTAAAACTAAGGGCCCTGAAAAAAAAAGAAAGAAAATACAGAAAGCAAAGAAAACTGGGGTGGAGTTAGAAGGGAGATAATGAGTTCTTTTAGAGTCTTCCTCAAGCCTCAAAATTGACTCACCACTGTGTAAGAAGGAAAAACGAAGTGAGCTAATTTAAATTATCCAACGCAACGTAATTCGCTGTTTAATTTCGTTGTTTCTAATTTCTTGTGTTCTTTCTCACCAAGAAATCAAGAATTTCGATGGGGCGAAGCTATTTTAACGTCCTGATTAAAAATCAATAAAATCCGCATAAATTAAAGACGAAACGAAACGATCTCTGAAATGTTTATAAACAAAATGAAGTGAGACTGCTTGCGACATTTTCGAGGTGCGTTTAGGGTTAACGACGCCCAAGAGAGAACTTTTTATCACTTGTTTCCGTACAAGGTACTCGTGTGTTCCTCTCTTTTATGAGACTTTTATAGCGGAACGAAACAGTCTTCTTCGAAACACTATACATCCTTAATTTGACGGTTATTTCATCTTTTTTTATGTACTCTTTCGTTCTTTCCGGTGTTGTTTTTCTTCTTTTATTATTATTTTATGGATTATTTTACGATTATTTATTGAATTAGAATGAGAACATTTCCATCAGATTTTAAATTACTCTATATATGTGACGATAAAAAAACCAACAGGAAATTTCAAGGCACATTTTTAATTAATAAAGGAAGGATTAAACGTATTATGGTTATCGTATGATTTTTGATAATTTACTCATATCAATTTTAATGATACCCATAAATTTGGAAGGTTTCCTTTGTTCATAATGTAAATGTTACCCATAAAATAATTTTCAACGTTGGTTTAAAAGTACAATATCTATAAATAAACATGAACAAACATTTTAATGATAAAATAAAGCCAAAAAAGTTTTATCGTAATACACCGGCGAGAGTTATCATATCAAAATTCAGTTATTTTATTTTGTATTGCTATCTTTTACGCTATATTTATGTCTCTGTAAATGTTAATGGCGAATACTTTGCAATTTTTTAGAAATAATCTGCATATGCTTTCCAATAAGAGTTGGAAACATTTAAAGAATTCTTGGATGAACTCCGAAAATCTTTAAAAATTTAAATCTATTTGAAGTAAATGCCAAAATTTGCTAAAATGTCGAATAAGGAACATCTAAAAAAATCTCGCTGCAATCTGACAATCCTTGAAGTCTTAATAAACTTTTGATAATAGTATCTCGTTCCCTACCAGTAATGCAGCAATATACAGGGTGTATCAAATGTCTGGAATATAGCCAATAATTTCGCCATTTGTGGTTTTAAAGAAAAATGTTTCAAATAAAAAATTCTTTATTAATTGTGGCGCATTTTTTGGCTTTTGATACTTGCTTGTTTACATTGTTCTTTGTTTCGTTGCTATGGCAACCAACACTGTTATTTTAAATCGGATGCATATGTTTTTTTGCACATTTTAATAGAGGATAAATCCCTCTACGCGATGAACATATCAAATCATATGGTTGTATCAGAAAAAAATCGAGAAAAAATGCATTCTCTAAAAATATTGCCTTAAAATAGTCTTAAATCAGCAAATTACAATCAAAGTAGGCGCCGAAATAACGCCGTTGGCAGCTTTAAATGTCAAAAAAATGACAGTTTAAACAAATATGGTGCAATTAAACGAACGACAAAGAATTCAAATATTAATAATGTATGGGTACGGTGCAAGTGATAGAAAACGCACTCAAAGTTACACAATCCACAGTATCCAAAATATAACATGAAATGTGTTAAAAACCTTCCAAAAAGTTGATGGCCGAAGACAGTTACCAATGACCATACATTATTAATTATTCATAATTGTTGAAACTGTAATTTTTTTGACATTTAAACCTGTCAACGGCGTTATTTCGGCGCCTACTTTGATTGTAATTAGCTGATTTAAGACTTTCAAAAAACGGATTTTTTTATCGATTTTTTTCTTATACAACCATATGATTTGATATGTTCATCGCATACAGGGACTTATCCTCTATCAAAGTATGCAAAAAAAATGTATGCATCCCATTTAAAATAACAATGTTGGTTGCCATAGCAACGAAACAAAAAACAATACAAACAAGCAAATATCGCCAAAAAATGCGCCATGATTAATAAAGAAACTTGTATTTCAATCATTTTTCTTTAAAACCACAAATGGCAAAGTTATTGGCTGATATTCCAGACATTTGACACACCCTGTATAGTCTTGTACCAATTATATCTAATCTTCTGCAAACAAAGTAACCTAATGTCAGTGGTGCGTGGTCTTCCGCCAACAGTATCTAATCTTTTGGAAGTCACATCTAATCACCTATAAGCGGTAGGTAGTTTTTTGTAAGCAGTATTTATTATCATGGGAGCAAATCTAGATTCTGCAAGCACCAAGCCAACAGTAGTTCTTTGCAAATCAAGCAATGAATGATGTACTGCAAACGGAATTTATTCATCTGATTGCAATAAGGAGTTCTTTGCAAACAGTAGTAGTCTTCTGCAAACAGCAAATAGTATACTGCAAGCAGTAAATTGTTTTCTGCAAGCATTAAATAGTCTTTATCTACAACTATTGAATTATCTATTCGTTATACAATTGATTTTTGACGGGTAATGACACTCATTACCCATGACAGACAAAGTGTTGAATAATGAGGCCATTATTCCACACTTCTGACACTGCCTACTAATCAAAAAATAAAATATTAACAGAAATGACAGCTTTCTTATATTGAGGTTATGTCTAAAATGTCTATCAAGTTTATTTTTTTTTCGTTTTTTTGATTTTTTTTTCAAAATTAAATAGTTGTAGATAAAGTATAGTATTCAACTTGCGTATAATGGATGTTACCCACTCAGATTACAACACTCGCTCGCTTCGCTCGCTCGTGTTGCAACTTCTTCTTCATGGGTAACAGCCGCCATTATACGCTTGTTGAATAATATACTATTTTCCAGTAGTACCATGCCAGCATAATATAGTAACAAGTTATATTTACTTATCTGTATCCAGTAAGTAGGCTCCAAGAGATCAACTTTCTACCATCTCGGCGTAGCAAATTAGCCCTGAGTTCCAAAACAAATATCTAGATGTCACCAGATGATGCTTCCTTCACTATGAGGGAATCGACAAGGCTAATAGTCGCTTTTTGGTGTTAAGAATAATTACCTACTTAAAAAAGGAGAAATGATTAAAAAAAGAATTGAGTTAATTACTTTTTTAATATTTGAAAAGATGCGAAAACTTACGAAAACTTAAAATGATATGAGAAACTTTCCTTTTGTTTGGTGGAAACTTCGTTTAGTTAATCCCTTTAGTTAAAACTTCTCGTTACGGCTCGGTTCCTGTCAGAGTTTAATTGAAGTGATGTATAGCACCAGAACATTACTCCAAAATAACGTGTTACCCCCACAAGTCTTCTGTTGCTTAGAAGGCTCAACGCATTCGTCGAGTAGTTTTGAAATATCTTAAACGCAGCTGTTCCAAAACAATTACCTAAAGATAAAAAAAAAAATAATAATAATCTGATAATTCGCTTTAAGTATACACGTTCAATACATTCATCTCGAATTTCGTTCTTGCCCTTTTCGAAAGACGTTTTGCTTCAAATTTATATCCGCCCCGATACGGGCGTAACCCTACACGAGGTTCACCTCGAATTAATAGTAAACCTCACGTTTTAAGACGCCAACAATCGTCTGCTGCCGGGGTAACCTTATACCTCCCGTATGACCTTTCGAGAACCCTTCCCCTTTTCGTTTACAATGGGCCCAGGCCCTTTATGCTGTCGCACTCATGGGAAAATATTAATAATGACTTCCTGATACCCCACGTTCGCCCCTTGTAAAGGAATTGCGATATTATGCTAATTGCCCCGGACTTTTGTGTTACTAAGGACAATGGTTTTTCAGATTTAAATAAGGAGGGCGGTTTGTAAAATTTACCTTTCAGGTGCTTTTAGTGGTAAAGCAATCTTTTTGTTTTTTAATTTGTTTTTTTTTTTCAAAACACTCCCCAACTAACTTATTCGTATTTGTTTGTTTGTTTGGACTCATTTTGACTGAATAGGATCGGTAAATATTTCGATATGGGACGCACATATGCACTTAGCATGTGTAAAGAGAGAGCCTAGGACAACATGTTATGATGTGCAACGTGAAAACAAATCGGAGAGGAAGTGAAAAGTGTACACGTTTCGACCGCAGATGTGTCTGAAACGTTCTCTCAACTTAAAATATCGCTCTTAACAGAGACAGGCGCTCTTTTAAGAGCACCATCGATAATATTTTGAAGTGGTCGCGTTCTGGGTTGCGTTAACCATTCGCTTGAGGGGTAAGTTTAACGGCTTAAAAGCGAAATCAAATTGTGCTTTTATCAGTCGTAAAGCTCGCCGCGATTAGCGACACGATGCGTTTCGATGTTTTCATAGGGATTCATTACTGAACATTGAGCGGATAACGCGGGCATTTATTACGTCCGCAGGGTCGTCCCTTCGGCGTCTCGGATCTTTTTCACTTATGTAACAAAGTTTTTGGAGCAAGTTTTATGCGGTCGTTCGTTTTATGACGGTGCGGTGCCGGTGGCAGCCGCGGCGCCACCACCACCATCGCCTTCCGGCAAAAACAAAATTTAAATCATTTCCCCATTGCCTCCAAAACTTTCCATGATACTCGCATCAAAACTTTTATCTTGATTTCCCAGTTGCTTCTGCTTCTTCTCTTCTACGATCTATCCTATATCCAGGTTTTTGTTTTATAGACAAATCCAGTTAGAGATTTCTTTTATATCTTTTATTCTTGTTAAAGTTATTTACAGTACAAATGAAAACCATATTGTTTCAATTTTCGAAGTGTAAAGTTCAGTCAAGAAAAAATTCTTGGGGGGATGATAAATTTAAAAACTCCATTTGAGTTTTGTGATTATGTTTGCTTTTGATTTTCTTTTTCCTTATTCTAAGTTTCTCAATAAAGTAATATCCTAAATAACACTTGGAGGTTTTAGGTTAATACATGTTGTTTTATTTTGTATTTAAATTAAAATTAAAAGATTTATTGCAGAAACTGTTACAAATTTGGTCATCTACATACGATAATAATACAAGATATTGACATGCGCACGATGAAACTGCAAAGAGAAGATACTGGCAAGATTGAAGCGGGACTGGAAACAAAGTTGTAACAGAAGAAAGACACTCCTCAGAGACGACAATAAAGGCATACCTTGAAAATCTCGATTATAAAAAAAAGAAAAGGCAAAGAGACTGGAAGATGAAGAAAGGAGATTGCACAGAACGAAGCGAGACTGAAAATAGAGTAGTTGTAATAGATAAACGACACTGCCCAGAGACTGCAGAGACGAAAACAAGACTTTGCAGAAAGAAGAAAATCCAAAAAAATCGCAATAGCTGAATAAAGATGTCGAACAGAGACTTAAAAGAGAAGAAAGAGACTGGATAAATAGATATGAGACTGGAAATAGACTTGTAATAGAAGCAAGACACTGACCAGAGACTGGAAAGAAGATGACAAAACTTTGCAGAATGAAGAAAGACAACGAAAGTTCCGATAATAGAGAAAAGAAACTGCGCAGAAACTTGAAAGAGAAGAAAGAGGCTGGGCAGAAAGAAGCGACACTGGAAACAGGGTTGTAATAGAAAAAAGACGCGGATCAGAAACTGGAGAGACAATAACGAGGGTTTGGAGAAAGAGGAGAGGATGAATATGAACTGGAAAGTTGACAGAGTTGATAGTATTTAAGAGAAAACAGTTGTATTTAGTTCTACCAGTGGTATCTAGTATTCTATCAGTGGTATTTTCTCTTCTTGTTGCAGTATCTACTTTTTTATAAGCAGTGTGTAGTCACTACAAGTACTTAATGGCCTTGTGACAGTAGAATAGCTACCTAGACTTTCTTCAGCAGTATCTAGCCTTTTGGTAATAGTATCTAGTCTTCATCCAGCAGTATGTACCCTTCTGCTAGTAGTATTTAGTCATCTGCCAGGTAGCAATACCTAGTTCGTCTTCTTCAGCAGCATCTAGCTTTTTGGCAGTAGTTTCTAGTCCTCAGCCAGCAATATTTATTTAAGTAGTTTTTCTCCGTAGAAACTCTCCGATTATTTTGAAATCCTTCAAAATTTGCACAAATCTTTATAAATCTGCTATATTTTTTAGGTTGGATTAGTAATAATAACGAGGGTTTGGAGAAAGAGGGGAGGATGAATAGGAACTGGAAAGTTGACAGAATAGATAGTATTTAAGAGAAAACAGTTGTATTTAGTTCTACCAGTGGTATCTAGTCTTCTATCAGTGGTATTTTCTCTTCTTGTTGCAGTATCTACTTTTTTATAAGCAGTATGTAGTCACTACAAGTACTTAATGTCCTTTTAACAGTAGAATAACTACCTAGATTTTCTTCAGCAGTATGTAGCCTTTTGGTAATAGTATCTAGTCTTCATCCAGCAGTACGTACCCTTCTGCTAGTAATATTTAGTCATCTGCCAGGTAACAATACCTAGTTCGTCTTCTTCAGCAGCATCTAGCTTTTTGGCAGTAGTTTCTAGCCCTCAGCCAGCAATATTNAAGACACTGACCAGAGACTGGAAAGAAGATGACAAAACTTTGCAGAATGAAGAAAGACAATGAAAGTTCCGATAATAGAGAAAAGAAACTGCGCAGAACCTTGAAAGAGAAGAAAGAGACTGGGCAGAAAGAAGCGACACTGGAAACAGGGTTGTAATAGAAAAAAGACGCGGATCAGAAACTGGAGAGACAATAACGAGGGTTTGGAGAAAGATGGGAGGCTGAATAGGAACTGGAAAGTTGACAGAGTTGATAGTATTTAAGAGAAAACAGCTGTATTTAGTTCTACCAGTGGTATCTAGTCTTCTATCAGAAGGTATTTTCTCTTCTTGTTGCAGTATCTACTTTTTTATAAGCAGGGTGTAGTCACTACAAGTACTTAATGGCCTTTTGACAGTAGAATAGATCTAATACCTAGATTTTCTTCAGCAGTATCTAGCCTTTTGGTAATAGTATCTAGTCTTCATCCAGCAGTACGTACCCTTCTGCTAGTAGTATTTAGTCATCTGCCAGGTAACAATACCTAGTTCGTCTTCTTCAGCAGCATCTAGCTTTTTGGCAGTAGTTTCTAGCCCTCAGCCAGCAATATTTATTTAAGTAGTTTCTCTCCGTAGAAACCCTCCGATTATTTTGAAATCCTTCAAAATTTGCACAAATCTTTATAAATCTGCTATATTTTTTAGGTTGGATTAGTAATAATCCAGTTTGATCGAGATCTAGTTTACTACGAACTGCTACAACGAATGTGAATAAAAGATCTCTGAACCTGAATATAAATGTAAAAAGAATATGAAATGAAAGGTTTCAACCTGAAAAATTATAGGATATCAAATATCGACAAAGTCTGCAAGAAATCTCAACATTTAATGCTATATAATTTAAAACGAATACTTGTATGTAGAACCATCCATCCATCGGAATTTTAGATAGACTCTGGCCTAAAGAAACAACAAACCGAAACTTTTGTCTTTATCTACTACCACATTTTGCATGACTCGATTTCGTGCGAAGAAACACAAAGGTAAGTACTGTTTGATGCGCGAAATGAGGGGGTTCGTCCGCACGTAGAACCGCTACATCTGGCACTTTCCTACATGACTAATTCATAAATTGGAAACACACCGGGAGCCGCTGAAGGCTTCAGTAGAGAGAAAGCGGCTTACGGTAAGTCCTCCGTAACCGCTTTTTGGAAAGGTCCGGAACTACGGCGTATAAAGCGCGATTTCAATTTAGGAAGGCTAAATAAAGGTGCGGTCTTCCAAGAGAAACAATTTTAAATCAAATAATTTCAAACCACATAGTTTGTGTTTATACAAGTCTTATTAAGTAAATAGATTGCATGAGTTTCCTCTATCTAAATATTTCTCTCTTTTAGGAGATTTAACATGTGTATTTAACATTTATTTTTATTTATTGCACTTCCTGTTATATGTGATTTTGTGTCTACGAATGTAAACACAACCGTATATATCTGTATTAATTAAACCCTACATAATTTATCAGCTCTAAAATGCAGGCTACATTATTTATATGTTGTAAATGTTTAATTTCAATTAGCGTCGAAATATTTATATCCCATCGTGATTTTACCAAATCACGAGCATTGTAAGCGCGCTGTAGGGACATATCATGTTGTACATATTTCAGGATATTATCAATACATTTATGGTGTCGTACCCTTTCCGAGTATAATTTTAACGGATATCCTCGTATTTTTCTTTGTAATCGAACCGAATGGACTCGTTACATATTAATACGGAAAAATGGGAATAAATAATTTCTTCTGACTATAACACGTCTATATTTTTCGTGCTACACCGTGCAGCTGCACGTTCGCGATGCAAACGGCATTGGGTAAACAAAATTTTATTTGTAAATATTGGAAGATCGTGGGCAAATATAAAATATTAGTTTTACCAGTAACTGAGAAAAATAAATTACTAATGCGCAAATGAATTTGATAAAGTTTCATCTTTCAATACAATTATCCACTTTATTTCTCAACTAATCTACCGTTGGACGTAAAAAGTAAAAAAA